TTACTCATCATTGGCTTTGGTGGTTGGTACATAAATTTGAATAATAGTTGTATTAACTTGTAGGCATAGGGATATTATCGTATCACTGACAACACTGTACTTCAGGACAGATCTTGAAACATCCTTTGTGATGATGAATGCCATGCCATTCCTCTTCAAACTGTCATTCCCAGTATAGTAGATCATATGGTTGTCCGATTCAAAATGGACCAAACCAGTCCATTTCAGCTCACTAATGCTGAGAATAACAATCTTTGTGTTCCATTTCATTTTTGACAACTTTCAATTTTCCTAGATTCATACCTAGTACATTCTGTGTTCCGATGATTAATGGATGTCTGCAGCTGTTTCTCTTCAATTTGAGTGGTGGTACATCAGCAAATGGAGGTCTGAAAAGCTTTACCTTATCCATATGAGTAAGGCATGGTTTACTTTGATGATGCAGCTCATTCCCAGTCCTACTTTGAGAGCCTTCTAACCTAACCAGACTATTCATAAAGTTGCACAGTAATGAATTAGTGTTTCTTTACTATTCATAACGTTTTCTCTGGCCAATTCTTTGAGAAGTGGACAGCCTCTTCCTTCTTCCTAGTCTGTCTCAGTCTGTAAGCTGTGCTGATACCTGTGCACCATGTGCATCCTGCTGGGTTTGAAACACTAGTGGCTCAGCCTCAAAACTCACATCAAAATGTCACCACAGTAGGACAAACCAACAGATAAGTTTGTCTCCCTGTTGGAAACCTCTCCTACCACTGAACCTACTAGGAACTTAATAAATATTTGCTGAAAAAATTTAAGACAATGCTAAAAACAAAATTCTAGTAACAGTTACTGAAATATTACCAATATATACCCTGCTCCATATTTACTAAAATCTTATATCTATTCAAGTGTTCCTCTATTGCATTATGCAGATTAAAGGTAAAATGATGAACTGTTATAGAAATTTGGCATGTACACAGGTACTTCACTTAAATATATTCTGGATATGACATTGTAGGCAAGCATTGTCTTATTTAGCTATAATTTTGGGCTCTAGTTTCTATTTTGCACATTAATTGATCACTTTTAGCCAGTATGTAGCTAGATATTGTATTCATTACTATTTTGGGACTTATTGCCCTTAGATTTATTTTTGACTTATGAAGGAATTATTTCTTAAGGTCTGGTAACTCACTGCAGTTTTCCTACTTTCATCCTCTACAAATTATTAAAAGCATTCACCATTTGGCCTCAAATAAGATATTCTTTGATTCCATAAGCATCTTAGACTCCTACTTCTCTGTTTCTGTAGGAAGTCGATAATTATATTTACAGTAGCATGGTGGCTAAGGCACTTGACTGCTAACCAGAAGGCTGGCGGTTCAAACCCACCAGCCACTCCCCGGAAGGAAGATGGGGCAATCTACTTCCGTAGTGATACTGCCTTGGAAACCCAAGGAGGGGTCGCTATGAGTTGGGGCCGACTCGACGGCACATAACAACAACAACAACAACAATATAATAACCAGTATGTTTCCCAATTCATCTCCATCAAGGCCTCTACCACTTGACTTTATATTCTTATTTGTTCTTTATAGTCACAGCTTATCTTAGTACTCTTCATATTTACTAAAGGAAAAAGAAAAGAGAGAAGAAGAGAGGAAGGAAGGAAGGAAGACTGAAAGAGGGTAGGAAGGAGGAAAAAATGACAGAGAGAAGAAAGAATGACAGAGGGGAAGAGAGGGATGGACAACAGGAAAGAAAGAAAGAGAGAGAGAGAGGGAAGGAAGGAGAGAAAGAAAAGCATTGCATCTACAGATGAGACCCAGCAATTCCGTTTGGCCAGGACTGGCCAAATGCAGCAAAACCAGTCTTCTGATGCTAGAGATGACCACTATTCACTGCTCACTTGCCCCTATTACTTAGTGTAGCCTAACACAGATGACTAGCCGTTCCTCTTTTAAGGCAGTTGTTATTGTGGGAGTTCCAGGGCTATCCTCTGGTGATTCTGATTCAGTGAGATGTGTGTGTGTGTTTGTAAAGGGGAAGGTGTGGCACAACCTGTACACTTAATAGCACTCAATCAATTATTATCAGACTTGAGCCAGTATCTGAATTACCAAGAGGGCTGGTTAGAGCCTACATTGCTGGGTATCACCAGATTTGCTTATCCAATAGGTATGCATTGGATGGGCCCAAATATTTGCATATCTAACAAGTTCTCATGTGATACTATTGTTTCTAGTCCAGGGGAAACAGACTTTGAGAACCATTTCATAGACACTTCTTATGACCAGATGAGTTTGGAAGAAAAATTTGTAACACATTCCTGAGAAAACATCACTGGTAGGATGTATGATTTTTTCTCTAACCTTGTAATTATCCTGGTTAGGATGTTGCCAACAATTTTCTCTGTGAGCCAGAAATCATATCAAACATCCTCTGTGACCTCCATATTTAAGCAAATGAAGAAGCAGATACACAATCTATGATTTTACTTTACATAGGTATAAATAATAGTTTAAATTATGTAGATGATGCAGTCAATAATGCCAAAATCATATATAACCAAAAGTTAATACTACAACTAAGCAGGTCACAGAAAGTAACCAAGAAAACACAGAAAGTTTTCAAATTCTATTCCTGGGTCAAACTCATATCTCTGCTATATGTCACCACGTAGCACCTAGTGGAATGAACAAGAGCTAATTTTTTAAAAGCTGATTCAGTCACGCCTATTATTTAGAGATCCAAATTGGGCCACTGGGGCTTCAGGAATGGTGCTTTGCAGCTTGATCCTGCCATTATAAACTCAGGCTGGTTGCATCACTACTTTCCATGAGGAATTTAAGGGGTGTGACTACATCCTTTCCAACCCTGCATTCCACATGTGACAAAACTGATCCAGCTGTTTGTCTGAAAGAAATTCCTTGCTGTCCTGAAAAATTAAAAAGCAAGTGGATATCCGTCCTCCAGGGGCACGCTTCCAGCTGGAACCTGGTACTGGCAGTTGTGAAACAGAGACAGTGCCCTGGAGAGCATCTGCTTTTGAATTCTTACCTCGCCATAGGGGGGTTAGCCCCAGCTTGCTTTTTGAAATGGCAGATTCTGGATGGAGGGTGCTGGCTTGGCTCAAAGCTCTTGAGAAGTGTTCATCCACTACTGACCCAATGTCTCCCTGGAAATAAGTGAAAAGGACACAGCGAGAGTTAAGGTACTCCATCTCGGCAGGCTGGTCTTTCTCCTCCTCCTCCTCCTCCTCCTCATCCTCATCCTCCTCCTCTTGTTTGCTGGGAAGGGTGAGTTCCAGAGAGTCCTGCATCTTGCTGTATACCGCTAACTTCTTCTGGGATGGAATAAACAAAACACAGTATCAAAGACAGTTTGTAAAAAAACATCAACTAGTTAAGTTTTCACTTTTAAAAAAGAATCTAAATATTAACACATGTTTGCAAACTGATTCTTCATCTGTTTTACTCCATGTTTACTCCATCTTTCACATCCCCAAACCAGCCTTCTCCTTCCCACATAATGAAAAAAAAAAAGAAAAAAAGTCTATTATTCCAAATTTGGCACATGCAAAAAAGTCCAATATAAACTATTATAATTTGAGAATGTGTGAGATATGTTTGTTTGTTTGCTTTTAATCCAGACATATTCAAAGACAGACTCTTTTTTTTTTTTAATTAGTGACAGATTTCTCCTAGTTTTTCTTCCCCTTTGCTATTTACTTACATATTACTACTTAGATTGGGGGGAGTGAGGGATATGAGACTGAAGTGTCTGGGAGAGGGGTGGAGAAGAAAGAACTTTTCATAAGTGAAAAAAATAAAATAAAAACAGGAATGTACCATCTTATAAAATATTTGGCAGATGTGCCAAATTCATTTCTCAAAAATCAAACTAAAATGACAAAACGAAGTCTGTGTGAAGATCCATTTTGCATGGAACATATTTTTCAGATGTTCCACTTACCACTATTATAATGAGGGGGGAAGTATTATGGCTTACTAAAAATAATACAAAATACTAGCAATGGCCAAATGTAAATAAAAATGAGAATCATTTTGTAATTTCAAGTATTTTTAAAATATGCAATCATAGATATAACAATAGCTAATATATATTAAGCTAGGCATTCATCTAAAAATGTTACATGTATTACCTCATTTAATTCTCACAAGTCTGTGCTTATTACTACTATCCATACTTCAAAGATGAAGAAACTAGGACATAGAGAAGTTAAGTAACTTGCCAAAAGTCACAGAACAGGTAAATGGTGGAGATAGAATGAATAATAAAAATATGCACGTGCCTGTTCCTTCGTGTGTGTTAGGTGAGGGGTGTGTGGTATTTAGTCTTGAACTAACAAAATCTCTAAATTGTTGTATTTTGTATTATTTTTTTTCAAATGTGGTAAGTTTGCAGTTAATTGTCATTTTCTTATTCCTGCTTTTCAATATTTCCAAATATTTTTCATTGCATATAGACTACATAATTATCATCAACTTCAATGTGAATTGCATGTAAGTACATAATACTAAAGATTATAAAATGTATTATTCTAACAATCAGATTAGCCTTTGTTATCATTTGTGTACCTGAGAAACCTAAATCTTTGTCATACCATTTTCCATACTTTTAAAAACTGAATGCTGGAAAAAAAAAATGTAAGCAGAAAAAATAAGTCATTCTAGAATATTCAGTAGGAACAGAGATTCATAAATTTAATCAAACACTCTACACTTCTAACATAATAACTAGGTACACAAATCTATAACCCCAAATTATATATACATCACTTAATAAACTGAACCTTTTCCTTCTAGTAATACATGTTACTCTTGTGTGATATGAATTCTGAAATCTTCAGGCATATTATGAGTTAACAGTTATTATTTAAGTGTTGTTATTTATAGAAATATATTTTTCTTTTTATATAAAATTTTTCCCATTCAGATTATCACTTGATGAGTACATAATTCATCCCTTGTGAGTGAATACACCTTGCTGATGAATAGAATAGGTGATTATAATGACTGAGTGTTTATATTTTTCACAATCTGCTTTTGCACAAATCTGAACATGTTTATATTTAACTTCAATAGTAGACACTCCATAATAATCCAGGTTATGTATAAAATGAGGGACTGAAGTATATGTCCTCTAAATTTACTCTTATCTTTTAAATTCTAATAAAATTAATTAAATATTCCTATTTATTAGTCGAATGATGGGATTATTTCTCTGTGTGTATATGTATTTACCAAAAGTATATACTGTTTTAAGCATGTGTATACACTTTCTGTCAAGTATTCTGGCACATTAGAAAGAAACGCTATTTTCATATGAAGAGAAAATTAATACTGATTCATAGACTGGCTCCACTACCCACAAGTGTTCATTATTATCTATGAAATAGATTCATTTTTCTATTAATGTCCAGCTCAGCCTCAGTTTCTGAGAGTTGAGCTTGCATATAATTCATTCATCTGTTTAATTTTGTTTAATAGTTGTCTTTTAAATGAAAAAGTCCTGACTGTGCTAACTATCCAAACAAAGGAAATGTTTCATTTTTACCCCAAATTAACAACAATTAATTCTTAGATGAAATAAAATTAATTAAAATTATATACATGTAAATATTTGAGTATTGTAAACCCTGATACAAGTATATAAAAATAGCATTATGATTATTAACAATAACATCTTAAATTTTGAATTGACGGCAGTGGATTTCATGCTACACAGATAGTGAACCTATTTAACATTGTACAGTATTTCGAAAAAATATATAATTTTGGGTATATTCTTTTTCTACCAGTTGCATGTGGGATACAAACAAATTAATCTGTATGCAGTGAAAGGAATGAGTGGGAACTGCCCTAGTACCAAAATATCTATTCTTAGTTTATTTTCCAAAAATCATTATTCCATCAAAGAATGCATTCTTTATTTATATACTTTTGAATTAATTATACATGTGCATACTGTATATTTATTTATATAAATATTTATAATGAAACTTTCCTTTTGCTATTTCAAATATCTGTTTCTATAAAGATATCTGTGTTGACTCCTCTATTTAAATGTATTTTTATTTTTCTTTCTTTCTTTCCCAGTTGTTCAATGCATGTTTCCTACTAAATAGTAAATTTGCTTGAAAATTATCAAAAAATAAAAGTAAAATGAAAAAGGAGCCTATGACATAATATACCTGCCACCAATTGGTAGAATATAAGACATATCTATCATTCCCACTTGCAATTTGTTCAGATAAAACTAGAACAATTTTCACAAATTATAAATAGCAAACCAATTTATGTATTTAAAAATATCTCTGCTGGCAGTGAAAGATTTTTTATTTACAATATACTAACACAAGACATGTTCATAGCCTCACAATTAACATCACTGGTTAAAATAAGAATTCGAAAGTATACAAATAGCGTGATAGCTAGCTGAAATGCTAAGACTGAATTCTCACACTTTTTGACATTCAGTGAGAGCACCAAGCAAACAGGAACGCAGAATTTAAACAGCAACTGCTGACATTCATGTCATTCTAATTTTCTTCTTCTCCACAGACTCTTGAGTCTGGACTACTTTCATATACCTGTGCTTTGGTGACTAAAAATCAGTTATTTGCCTTCTTTTTTAAAAAAATAAATAAGTATAAGGAGCCTTGGTGGCACAACATTTAAGCACTCGGCTGCTAACAGAAAATTTGGCTCTTTGAACCCACCCAGTAACTCAGAAGGAGGAAGACCTGGGGAGCTGCTTTCACAAGGATTACAGCCCAGAAAACCCTATGGGGCAGTTCTGCTCTTTCACCTGGGGTCACTATAAGCTGGAATTGAATGGCACCAAACAACAATACACACATGTGCACTATATTTATTTATTCTGTACTCATTTGGTATTTGCTTCTTGGAATGAAATTTCCCTAAGTGTCATATTCTTTCTTGTGGATAATGTATCATATTCAAAACATTGAGATTAAATCAGAACCTGTATTTCCTGAGTCAAAGTCAAAATGTAATCTAGTTCTTATTTTTCTCAAGGTGAAAATTCATTTCCTAAAATTACCCAAATCTGTCAGAAATGTTCATGTTTTTCTTATGAGACTGAAGGATTATTAACAAAAAAATAACGAAGTTATTTAAGGGAACTTCAAAAACTACAATTTGGTTTATTTAATGTGCATTAACTAGCTCATTCTCACATGTTCAAAGTAATAACAGATTTTGTTTTTGTTTTTCACCCAGGTAGAACAACCCTCAGTTAGGTCAAACAATGAGCCAGTTAACAGGCACAAAGCTAAAGGCTAATTTAATTCCAGAAGAGGTTAAAGTAGCAATGTGAAGAAGGGTCAGCCTAGGCTGTGTGAATTACCTCAAAGCCTGCCATAAGACACAACAGAAACAAACTTTAACAGGAATGTGCAGGCGAATGGATTTGTCTGACAAGAGAAAGACTTCCATGTCAGGAGCCAAATACCACTAACTCCCCAAGGCTTAAGTTTACAAAATGCCAAATGATTATGGTGCATATGTGGAAACTTTTTCTTACAAAAAAAGAAAAAAATATTTTAATGAATCATTAGCTATTGTTTTCTAGCTTAAAAAAAAATTATTCTATTTCTACTAATTGACTATGTTCTCTAAATGTTCCCTTATGTTAAATGTGTGTTTATATGCATATATATATATATATATATATATATATATACATATGTATATATATATGTGTATATATATATTGTTGCTGTTATGTGCCTTCGAGTCAGGCTTGACTCACAGAGACCCCTCCTTGGGTTTCTGAGGCAGTATCACTACGGAAGTAGACTGCCCAACCCTCCTACCGAGGAGTATATATATAAATACATTATATATATATGCCTATAAGAAAGAACGGGAGCTCTGGTAGCATAGTGGCTAAGACACTTGCCTGCTAACCAGACGGCTGGCGGTTCAAACCCACCAGCCACTCCTCGGAAGGAAGGTTGGGCAATCCTACTTCAGTAGTGATACTGCCTCGGAAACCCAAGGAGGGGTCGCTATGAGTCGGGGCCGACTCGACGGCACATAACAACAACAACAACGTAAGAAAGAACCATTTGCCCAGGATAAATAATTTCAAATTATTAAGTCCATTAAACAAGCACATTATTCTTTGATTGTATTTTTCTTAATAGAGTTGGATAACAGACTTTTTAAAAATAGCTCAGAGAAATATGAAGTTTTAATTCTTAGCCCATTTGGAGGGGGAAGCTATGTCAGGTTAAGGGAGAGAAGTCAGACATTTTACATATTTTATTTCACTTAGCTCACACACAAAGGCACT